AAAAGTGATTTTTAGTAAAATATTTTTCTCTTGGAAACCTTAGGACTCCGTATGATACATTTACCTTCTAAAATTCAGAATTTACTCTACTTGGAACATTTATAGGTCTAAATTGATGATAGCCAAAGGGAAGCACTATTTCTTTTCTCAGTACCTGACATATGCAGGTAGAATTCTCCTTTTTAAATGTCAGGGTCTCCATGACCTCCTGCACAGGTTTATTAGAGTAGCTATTGCTTCTCTTCATCAAATACCTTTTCCTCATTAATAGGTATTTCAGCCCTAAATAAATCCACTACTTGTTTTTAGTTTAGCTCTATTTTGTCATTGAGTAAAACACTCTATCAGTGAAGAATAAATGACTCAACTATTCACATACTTGCCAGCATATTCTTCTATTACATGTATTAATCATTTATTACTAAATTAAAGCCTTTAATTAAGATACATTAGCAAAATTTCAAATTCTCTTCTGTTTCAGATCATCAGAACTATTAATTAGGGGTATTTACTTGTGCCACGTTTCTTGGGGGAAAAAATCGTGTAAAACTCTTTAAACAGTTGAACAACATTATTGGAAGGGAGAAATTCATGAGAGGTGGATGTTGACTCCAGAGGCAAGATACTGAAATGTGAAAATATTCCACATTATAAACTTAAATCACAAGTGAGAAAATCAAAACAGTGTACGGAGTTGATAAAAATTAAAGCTAGACTAAATGCGACACGGGAAGGGAAAGGCTAAATCTAACCGCGTGCCGTCTCAGGCTGGCTCCCACGCGGCAGAGCTGAGCAGCGGGCACACTCCACCTCTTCACAGCCACACTGTGCCCAAGGGAGCGTCAGCGCTTTGACACGGATGATGGCAGTGTTGATAATACTGCACAGCTGGGGAAGTGGGACAAAAGATTTCAGAAGAAGATTTCTTTCTTCTATGTCGAATTTTTACTTGGTGATTAGATAACTGGGCAGGTATCTAATCAATCAATCAATCGATCGATCAAGGAATCGATCCTATTTACAAATCGATCATGTAATTTATAAATTGATCATGTAAATAAGGAGCACTCAGTCCTGTTGTGGGTTTCTAATAAGACGATGCTGTCAGATGGAGAGAGAATGTGGATGGAAAGGCATATTGTAGTTTGCAAAGAGATAATTGATTTCTTATGTAACATGATCACCTTCACTGGGTCCAGAAACAAAAAAGTGAAGAAGGGATTCAAATGGAAGCCTGAAGAATGTCCTTTTATCTCTAAAAGGAAACAGGAAAAAGTGGCTGAAGTAAGATCCTAGAGAGAATGAAAAGACATGGCCTTCAACTTGAAATCGAAGCAGGAGGTCAGGTTTTATAGGGCTATTTCAGTGCAAGAGCAAAAACAGGCTGCTTTCTAACGTCAGCCGGAGCGGGAAGACCCTATGCCCCGAACTGGGCACAACTGCTCAGCATCCATTCTCTTTCCCAGCCACACCCCAGCCCCAACTTTCCATTCGTTGCTGATTCCCTGGTACGTGTTCCCTGCCTCCTGCTTTACGTCTACGAATCTGATGCCTTCTCGACCTTGCGCATGGCATCTTGTATCCAGACCTGACAACAGAGCCTTCACTGGCCCGTAGGTCCTGCCCAAATCTTATGCTTGGTTCCACAAGTCCTCAGTTCTGGGTGAACTGTGTTCCCAAAAGGCAACACCAATTCTGCCGCGAACGAGACCTGGGTTCTGAAGACAGCGCTGACTCTTCCCAACTGCAAAGGTTACGCCTGGACAGTGAGCGCGGTAATGAGCTTGAGGCCCAGCGCGGGGTCTGCCTGGTTTCTTAAGGCCTCCGCTCTCACTGGAGAATCCAACAATGAGAATTAACTAACCCCGACTCTAACTCAGGTGCTTACTTGCCTGGGGGGAAAAGGTTGAGTTCTTACTGCAAATACCTGCAAGGAGTGAGCTCTCTCATTCCAGCCCAAAACCTGGGACAGGAGGCAGCAGGAGTTTGCATATTTTGGTCTTTTGGACAGGCCCAGTTTCCCTGGCCTATATGCCATCAGACTCCCAGGTTTCCTCCCACTTCCAAGGACACTCCTGCTTAGATCCCTCTGTACCCCCTTCACCCACCTTGGCCCTAGGCCTTTGTCTTTCATCAACGTCAACTCTCTCTAGAAAATCTCCTCTACTCCACAGCTTTGATATGCTGAAAGTTACACATTTATACAGTATCAAATGTATACAGTATCTCCAATCTAGATTTCCTTTTGCACTCCAAATCCATATATACCACTGTGTATTTGATCTCTCCTTGGATATCTTAAAATCTCGAATTCAACATATTCAAAACTGAACTCTGCATTTCCCCCTGCAAGCCTGGGTGTCCTTCAGCATTCTCTATCTCAGTAAATGACACCAGTATCCACCCAGCTCCACAGTCAAGAGCCTAGGGCCCATGTGGGTCCCTCCATCTCCCTTATCTCCCACAGTTAGTCTGTTATCAAGTCCTTCAGAACTACTGAACCTACTTCTCTCCACCTTCAGTACCACTTCTAACATCCAGAGCACTGTTGTAAAATTTTATGTAAATTCTCTCTCTAATCATCCTATGTATTAGTTTCCTAGAACAGATGTAACAAATTACATTCATTATTAGACTATCCTACAGCACTAGCATTATTTTGCAAAGTTAAACATCAAATACAATTCATGGCATGATGCCTATCATATAGAAGGTGCTCGATAAATAGCTGAGAATAAATTAATGAGATTGTGTCACCAGCCTCATCATGAGTCATCGAAATTCCACATTGCTTAAAGATTGAGCTTCATATTCCCAAACAAAGCATTCAAGACCTTCTAACTCATCATAAGATTTTTAAAAAAAATCTTGGAATGAGAGAATCTTTCTAAGAATGTTTAGAAGTCATGAAAGAAAAAAATAATAAATTTGGCCACATATCTAAAAGTTCAGTATGGAAAAATTTCATACACAAGCCTGCAAAAATATTCACAATATATATTACGCATATACCCAAATTCCTAAAGATTTTGGGAAGAAGCAGGCACCTTCATTTACTGTTGTAGGAATGTAAACTGGTGAAGATTCTTTGAAGGAAATTATAGAAATAAAAATAAAAACATAAATTCATCTCCGCTCTGCATTTTCACCTCTAGGACTCTGTAGGTCATCTCTCAGCCATTCACTGCTACACCCTTCACAATAAAAGCAGACTGGCAATAACCTACATGCTCACCAACAGGAGATGGTTGAATCCACTGTGGTACAGCTGTACCATGGAATACCATGAGGCCCTTTTAAAATGAGCCATGTCTACACGCATGTGTATGGAAGAGGCTAACTCATTTTGTAAACAACAAAAAGAACATATATGCATATGCTATATGCATATATATATAAAAGCAAATCAGAACACTGTAACTATATTTGCCTTTGAGACAACTGTGACACTGAGTACAGGGGTGGAAGGAAGATTAATTTTTCACTGTAAACTTGTGTTTGAATTTATTTTGCCAGGTACTTGCATTGCCCATGTATGAGAGAGAGAGAAAGAGGGAGAGAGAGAGAGGGAGAGGGAGAGGGAAGGGGACAGGGAGGGAGAGAGGGAGGGGGAGACATAGAGAGAGAGAGAGACAGAGAGAGAGAGAGACAGAGAGAGAGAGAGACAGAGAGAGAGAGAGACAGAGAGAGAGACAGAGAGAAGTGGGGAGAGAGCATGAGCGAGCGAGTGAGCATTAGCTAGTTTTCACCTGATTTTCAAACTTGATCTCGTACTGTAACATCTTGCAGTGGACAATTCATTGCTTCCCAAAGGCACTGAGTATGCTCATGTTGAGTGCGTGTGAATGTCTGCGTAAGGGTGTGAGTGTCTAACGTTCCATCATCCTCGACTTTCACACTTTCTGCCTGTAGAAATCTTGCTCCTCAAAATCTCTTCCG